TTTTCTTTATTATTTATTGTAAATAGAGTGTGAATATGCTCTATGAGACCTATTATAAATGTCCTTGATTGTGACAGATTGTAATATTTCTCAATAAATAACTTTAAAAAAAATATGGATTTATAAAGTTATTAAATTTTTCATGAAGATTAAAAAAATGTTCCCCTTTTTTTTCTTAGTGTTAATGTATCTTTAATGTCATCTGGATGATAAGTCATTTATTTGAATGCTGCAAAATGAATAGTTGTTTTGTGCTGCTAGAATTTTATTTGTTATAATATAAAAACAGCACTGCTCGAATCACAAAAATGGTGAACAATATCTACCAGCTATCATGACGAAATAATTAATCATAGTCAGAGCCATCCTTAGAGTGGAGCAGTCTCTCCAGGCTGTGTGTCTACTGCGGCCCCGTGCAATAGAGCCTTCTTACTCTGGCTCTAATATTTTTTTTTTTTTTTTATTATTAAAGTGCTTATTTTGACCATGAAGAGATGATAGCTTGAATGTTGGTTGGGAGAGGAAGGGGAGGCCGCTTACTTTAAAAAAAGACCCACAAAACTTTTCGCATCAGGCCCAGCTATTGTTTTGCATGGCTTTGAATATAGTGTTTACTTTATTTTTACAGGGTAACCTAAAAATAATGGGAAATATTCAAAGAGGTGATAGTACACGTCTAGTGATACAAAAAACTTCTGATAGACCTGATGTTCTGATGGTCTGAACCCACATAGAAAAGCGGAAACTTGAGTTTATTGTTTTTTTAAAAGTAAGTTGCATTTTTGGTTTAATAAGAAATGATAATAAAAAAATGCTTAATTCAGATAGTTACCAATTGCTTCATTTGAATGAAGAACATAGAACTAATTTGTTTTGTACTATTATTTCTTTTGATTTTGGAAATAAAAGTAGTAATATAAATGTATAACATACTGATCAAAAACTAAAAGTTTTTGAAAAGAAATATTTATATAAAAAGTCATAAAAATTAACAGAGTGAGATGGAAAATGTATAAACATTAAGATTGAGATGAGCAAGAGAACATATGTTGATAAATTGTTTCAAATGAATATGTTGTACAATATATAATTTTTAACTTCATTTATCCATATATGGAATATTGCCATCATGCATTATAAAGAAATAGGTGTTTTAAAATTAGTAGGCATTAATTTTTATTCAAAGTAAGAGGTAAGTGAAAGTTATATGATATGTCAATCACTCCACCTTTTTGTAGTTATATTTTTTTTCATCTTCACTATTCTCTCACATAATCAGGGAAGAACAAATGAAATTTTCTGGACGGCAGGCCTTTGGCTACTCCTGCATTGCTCAACTAATTGGGAAAAATTATGATGTGGGCATCTTCCCAGAATTTTGTAGTAATTAGTTTTTACTTTTTATAATTGAATTTTAGAAACTTTTTTTTCATAATGATAGGCTATGTATATATCATTGGTACAAAAGCTAACTTTGGCGTAGGGAGGTGGCAGTCCCATCGCCCGGTCATTGTACCGCAACCAGCCACTGGCCCTCCAGGTTGGGGGAACACTTACACGAACACTCACACACCAAGTACACTTTATACAGCACACTACAACACCTAAACACTACAGACAAAGGTCACCTACTGTACATACCCTAGGGTCACCTTCCCTAGGTAGCCGCCCCGGATGGGGGAGCTAGTCAGGATGCTCGGAGGAGGCAGCCCCTCTACCTGACTCGGGGGCAGTGGGCTGATAACCCACCCCCCCTAAAGTACCTTATTACGAAACCTCAAAGAGAAGAAGCCGGACTGAATTACGGTAACAGACCCAGGAAACGCCTAAATGACCTAAGAATTGGATTTTGGAACATTTTATCATTACATAGACTAGGAGCACTTCGTGCGTTCCTTGCAGAAGTGGACACATACAGAATCGACATAGCAGCTATCCAAGAGGTCCGATGGATAGGACAGGGAATTATGGAGAAGAAGTACCATACACTCTACTATAGCTGCCACGAAAAGCATCACATCTTCGATACCGGATTTGCTGTGAGAGGCAGAGCTCGACAGCTAGTGATGCGATTTACTCCCATTAACCAAAGGTTATGCTACATTCGGCTTAGAGGAAAATTTTTTAATTTCTCTCTAATCAACTGCCATGCCCCAACAGAGGTGTCACCTGAGGAGGATAAGGAAACATTCTATGAAGAACTTGGACGCGTGACAGAAAGCTGCCCCAATAATGATGTTAAAATCATTCTTGGTGACTTTAACGCCCAAGTTGGTAAGGAGGTGGCACTCATGCCGACCATAGGAACCCACAGCTTGCATGAGACCAGTAATGATAATGGGCTACGGATGGTGAACTTTGCTACATTACACGGACTGGTTGTTGGAACAACTCTTTTTCCTCGAAGGAATATCCACAAAGCAACTTGGATCTCTCCAAATGGGCAAACAACATCATAGATAGACCATGTACTCATTAGTGCCCGCCACAAGTCCAACATGATAAATGCAAGATCTTATAGAGGTGCAAATATGGACACGGATCACTATTTGAGCATTGCCTAGGTCAGATCACGAATTTCGCTGATTAAAAACCACCACCAACGACCAAAGAAGAAGATTGATGTAGCCAAACTTAAGGACTCAGACCACCAATATTCGTGTCAACAAGCTGTGGAGACGAAACTTAATGAAGAAGTAATTAATGACAGCTCTATGGTCGATGAACAGTGGAAGAGATGCAGCAACGCAATGAAACAGGCAGCAGAGGAATCTCTTGGCTACGAGACTAAATCTAGAAGGCCCCCATGGTTTGATGCTGAGTGCCTTCAAGCAGTAAAAGTGAAAAATGAAGCCTACAGAAAGAAGGTTCAGCGTCCCACAAGGCTCTCCCAAGAAACATATCGAAGAAAAAGACGCGAAGAGAAGAGATTATTCCGCGGAAAGAGAAGAGCTTGGGAAAATAAGAACATGGAGGACACAGAGGCACTGCGCGGCCAAAATGAAAGTCGGCTGTTCTTTCAGAGAATAAACGAGGGTAGGGCAGCTTTCAGGCCCAGAGTGACGGCATGCAAAGACACGAATGGAACTCTTTTAAGCCACAAAGATGAAGTACTAAGGAGATGGGTACAACATTTCAAAGACGCATTAAACAGAAGAACGGTGCCTGGAGAAGTAGGAGTAATGAAGGAAGACTCCCTGAATTCTATTGAACCCCCGGATAAAGAGGAAATGGAAAACGCCCTGAGGAAATTTAAAAATGGAAAGGCGCCAGGCCCGGACGGAATCCAGTCAGAGCTATTGAAATGTGGAGGTGAAGAACTCAAGAAAACTCTGCATGACTTAATGCTGACCATCTGGGAGAGGGAAGCTATGCCTACGGAATGGGCAACAGCCATTATCTGCCCAATACATAAGAAAGGAGATCAAACAGAATGCGCTAACTATCGAGGAATCTCACTCCTTTCGTGTGCTTATAAGCTGCTCTCTAACATTCTTTTTGAGAGGATCCTCCCGTATTCTGAAAAGGAACTGGGGAAATATCAGGCTGGATTTCGAAGAGGACGCACAACCACTGATCAACTGTTCTCTCTGAGGATGATCCTAGAAAAGACTATGGAGCGTAAGGTAGTCACCCACCATTTATTCCTAGACTTTAAAGCAGCATACGACAGCGTTGATAGAACGCAGCTATACTGTGCCTTGGAGGAGCTAAGCATCCCTCAGAAGCTCGTACGCCTAATCAAGATGACCATGGACAGCTCGACATGTAGAATACGCGTCGGTTCTGACGACTCCGAAGAGTTTAAAGTGAGCAGTGGGGTTAGGCAAGGGGATGCCCTCGCCTGTCTATTGTTCAACTTGGCAGAGGAGAAAGCTGTAAGAGACTCCGGTATTCAGACCAACGATATAATCTTCAATCGCCTGACACAGCTTCTTGGCTTTGCTGATGATATTGACATAATAGGTAGGTCTGAACGGGCTCTCAGAGAAGCGTTTATAGGCCTTGAAGCAGCTGCAAGACCACTTGGTCTAGAAGTCAACGAGAGGAAAACTAAGTATATGAGAGTTGGTGGTGAGGTGGATCTGAACTCTCCATTTGAGGTAGGTTCTTTTAAGTTTGAGAGAGTGAAAAGTTTTGTATACCTTGGGTCTGAAATTAATAGCAAAAATGAAATGGCTCAGGAAATACAGAGAAGGATCACGGCCAATAGAAGTGTCTTTGGACTTGGCCGACACTTAAGAAGTTGGTACCTCTCAAAGAAGACCAAGCTGATCATATACAAGACCCTTGTTCGGCCTGTTTTGACATATGGCTCAGAGGCTTGGACGATGACTAAAAAACGATGAGATGAAGCTGAGTGTGTTTGAGAGAGAAGTCCTCAGAAGGATTTATGGTCCAATAAAGGAGGGTGATGTCTGGAGGAAAAGAAAAAATAGGGAGCTCAGTTCTCTTTATACAGACATCGACATAGTCACGTACATTAAACTGGCCAGACTAAGGTGGGCAGGGCATGTGGCCAGAATGAGCACCGTTGAAATACCAAAGAAAATAATGATTGAGGAGCTGCATCTCGCAAGACGTGTAGGAAGGCCGAGGACGAGATGGTTGGACAACGTGGCCTATGATGCGAGAACCCTGCTTGGTGTAAGGAACTGGAGAGCTGCAGCAGAAGACAGAGCCAACTGGCGGAGGCTCTTGGAGGAGGCCCAGTCTCGGTAACGGGATGTCGTGCCACATATGATGATGATGACAAAAGCTAACTATTGAATATTAAAAATTTTCAATCCTGCACTCCAGCAATTGTAATAGTAATAAAGTAATTTTTAAACATCAAATATAAAATCTTCAAACATTCATAAAAGCATATATTAGTATGGAAATCAAACATCCTTATTGTTTGGGATGAATTGATAATGATTTTAGAGTGGTGATTTTCAGATTCAATATTAATAGTATGAAGTTGATATATTAAATGCTAAAGCAATCCTGTATATTCCTCACCTCCTCCACCAAGGTTCATTAGCCGTCAGATCTGGTCTGAGAAGTGCTGAGTATAATTCAGGACTATTGTTGAGGAAGTGGAGGCTGGGCTCTCCTAGAGGGTACCTTCGATCGGGATAGCCATCTTGAGTCTGAAAGCAACAGTTAGGATTTTATTAATGATCCAAACACTACTTAAATTATTCATAAACCTTAGGTTTATTAGTTCAAACAATATCTCTCTTAATACAGAGGAATTTTGTGTAATTAGAACAAAGATTTCAAAATATATGTATAGAAATATTCAATAGGTTTTCAGACAAAATAAATTTTTTTTCAACCTCATCAGTACCATTTTCACACTTAAAATTAAAAATAACATTTAAAAAATTTTCAATTTCAAAAATATTTCTGTTCGTTTGTTTTTGGCAAATATTTGTTGAGGTTAGTTGGTTTACCACATCCTTAAATAAAAATTATTTATATTTTACAGGAAGTTGGAGCTTATAACTATGTTATAATCATATGTCACAAGTACGAAAACCATAATATTCCACTTAATTTGTTAGCTATGTTTAAAATATTTACTCTTGTAAAGATTGACCCAACTGACAAGGAAGTGGATATAGTCATTAAAACTATTAGAGAGAACTGCTCTTGATTTGCAACCAGTAGTATTGTCAATGAACCTCATAGAGAATGACAACAAGACAAAATGTATGTCCACACGGTTTTGAGTGGTGACTATTGGTAACTGTACATTTAAGAAAATATCAAAGTTCAGCTATCTTCAAGTTAACTCTACTAATGGTATATATTTGAAAATTTGGTGAGGAATTGCAATTAGATGCTAGTTTGTAATGCCAAGGCTCATATATAGCTAGTTATCATGAGTTATTATAAAATTTGACAATATTATATTCTTATAAAGGCAGTTTGAAGGTGGGAATCTTATAGATGAATGACAATGATAATCTCCCACATGTTTAACAGAAGGACTCCGCAGAATATTTGTATATATCCATACATAATAAACATTAAGAGAAACCATTTTTAAAAAAGAATTTGCCAGACAGTAAGATGTTTAAAATATTTTGATTTTGAGATACTATTATTGTTCTTGTCAATTCATCACAAAGAAATAGATTCAAATTCACAATAATAACTGAATATTTTATGCATTTATCACTATTTATAAGATATTCTTAACTGATTACTTCACCTGATTGAAAACTAAAGTATTGAAGCCCTGATGCTGGAATGTAGGTGGTGGTTGTTGAAATTGAGCAACTGAGAAGATTGGTCTTTTGTGATGGTATGCAGGAGGTCCATAGACTGGTCTGTAAGAGAGCCAATTAGAATGAAACTCATATATATACATATTAAATTTTTAAGTTGTTTTTATACAATTATATATATTTATATTCTCAAATTTATGAGGTTTTATGTATCATCAGCTATCAGCTTTGATTACAGTGGCATCACTGCTATTGCTAGTTGTTTTTGTAATATATTATATTTCTGATTTGTGTTTCTTTGTTATGTTTTTTGTTAATTATTATGTATACATACTATTTAAAACTTTGCAAGTTAGATTGATGGTGCGCAAAGCTCCTGGCCACAACCTAATCACTTCCCACATTCTTAAGCTACTTCCTCGAAAAGCCATTCTATTCCTTACTTACATTTATAACGCCATACTCCGTTCCACAATTTTCCTGACCCTTGGAAACTATCTGTAGTCAAAATGATACATAAACCCAAAAAGCCACCAGAATGCCCATCCTCTTACCGTCCTATCTCTCTTTTGCCCATCATGGGCAAAATCCTGGAGAAGCTCATCTTAAAACGCCTGTATCCCATCCTAGATTCTAACCACATAATCCCTGATCACCAATTTGGATTCCACACATCCCATTCCACTATCCAGCAATGTCATCGTGTGGTAGACGTAGTCTCCTCTGCATTGGAGCCGGAATGTATTGCACTGGAGTTTTTCTCGACGTTGAACAGGCGTTTGATCGAGTCTGGCATCCGGGATTGCTTTACAAACTCGGTAAATTCCTTCCCCTTACATATTTTCTTATCATCAGTTCCTATCTTACTGATAGGCACTTCAAAGTAAATCACAATAATACCTATTCATCCCTCTTTTCTCAATCTGCCGGAGTTCCTCAAGATAGTATCCTTTGTCCTATCCTTTACACAGTTTATACAGCTGACATCCCAACCCATCCTAACACTGTTATTACCACGTATGCCGATGATACATGTGTCCTATCCGTTAATAATGACCCAACCATTGCATCCCAAACTCTTCAATCACACATCACAAGCCTTGGAGAATGGTGTCAAAACTGGAGGATTAAAATAAATCCCATAAAATCACCTTTACCCTTCGACGTAAACCTATGACCTCATGTCCCACAGTATCCTTTAATAATACCCCACTTATCCCTGTTGAACAAATCCGATACCTTGGACTTCATTTGGACAAACGTCTAACTTGGAATCCTCATACTAGACTGAAACGACAAGAAACCACTCGACGTTTTTGACTACTCCAACACTTACTAGACAAACGCTCTAAACTTCCCCTTAATTACAAAAGACTCATATACTTGACTATAATAAGACCTTTTTGGACTTACGGAGTTGAGCTATGGGGCTCCACTAAACCATCGAATTCCTCTCGCATCCAATCCTTACAATCCAAAATCCTCCGTAAAATCCTCAATGCTCCTTACTTTGTCACTAAAAAAATAATCCATAAAGACCTCAATGTTCCATATGTTTCCGATTTGGCCAAATCCAGATACCTATCCTTCCATAATAAACTTCATAACCATCCGAATCCTCTTGTTTCTAACCTTGCTTCCTCTTCGATTCCTGATAACCCTCCGAGGCGTCTGAAAAGAAGATGGCCTCGTGATCTTCTCATGTAGACAAATTATTAGAGTGCTACCAGTGGGTAGTTTCTCAACAAGCGTGTTTCATGTAATAATATTTCTCTGTACAAATTTACTTGATGTATTCATACTAATACAGTTGTAAATATCATAATAAAAGTTTAAAAAAAAAAAAAAAAAGATTGATGGTGTGGTTTTGGCTTGTTAAAGGAGTATAGTATCATGAAATTTAGTGCTTTAGAACTGTTTAGGACTAAAATGTATCTTTTTGTATAAAACATGTCAAATAGAAAAAGTGAAATATGTCATTTCTCCAAGTGAACATAGGAGTAACAGGATTTTAGGAGAAACCTTTTGTTTCCTGAGGCAACTAATAAGGTTACCATGGAAGCCCAGATACTCTTGTCAAATATTTAAGAGGAAAACTCATGATGTTAGTGGTAGTTTTCTAATTGAATTACAATAGGTTGAAATATAACATAGTGCTGCTGAAGGAATACAGCATTTCAAAACGAAAAATTTAGAAGTCTATAAAAATTATAAAAGTGTAAAAAAAATATATTGCTTGATGCCTCACTAAGGAAATCATATGTGCCTCCTTAAAAATTCAAACTCTAACCTCTTTCTGGGCACCTGTGGAAGTAATGAAGAACCGATTATTTGATTTAACAAAGAATAATATTTAGATCCAATAAGGTGGCAGCACCTAATAGTTGGTATGTAGAAAAATTAAATTTCAAAAATAAAATATATTTATTTTTTTAATAATATTAATTCGTCCAATGTGAAGGCTAAAGTAATAAGTATAGCTGATTATTAGAAAAATAATAGTTTTTAGGTAATGTAAAGAAGTTTGATTCTCGGGTCTTATAATAAAAGTAATTAGATGATTTTTTTCCAACTTATTGATTTATTATAAAATAAAAATATACCTAACTTCAGTACCTTGGACGAAATTGTTCTCTATCTTCATTAAGAAATAGCGTGTTGTAGTCATATTCCCAATTTTCTATAAGGTGTTGTATGAGATGCCTGAAACACATGAAGTGGTTTTGAAAATACTTGCTTAAAAATGAATAAGCGTTATTTTTATTACTTATAGATAAACAAGTGTTTCCTCTTTAATTAAGTATCAAACTCTTTCATAAATTATATTTAATACTTTTTTTAATAATAATAACAGAGAGAAATTTATTTGAAGTGCAACAAATTATATTAATAATTAAAGGAAACAAAACGTAACAATGGAATAAATATTCTCTGTATCTAATTCTAGATTCATTATTTAATTCATTTTTTTTGTAACCATATCATTTAAGAGTTTGTTTCGAAATAAATAATAATAATAATAAAATGATGAAATAAAAACAATAGTAAATATTAATAGACTAGCACTTCATTTAAATAGGAAAATCTTGTGCACAGGTGCTCGCTTCCCACTACTCGCTTAATATCAAGAGAATGGTCGACTGAATAAAGGAAATGAACAGGATCAAATTTATAAATAATTTAATTTTCTACAAGTTTTATCCCAATATATCATAACATAATAAACATAAAAAACATAACATGAAAACAATTTTTTTCTTTTGTTTTTCTTAATCTTTTACTATAATAAATTGAGATCCCTACATGATCATTATTAGCTGTCAGTTATGAAAACAAAATAATGATTCATGCTAATTTACAATATTATACCATTCATTCCAGAATTTAGCTTTTTCCACCTTATTGGACTGAACTATGAATGATGCTCAGTAATACTCAACCAACTGGTAGCGGACCCAGAATTTACTTTTTTGTGGTGGAGGCTTTTTTTTTTTTATTCCAGTGTATATACCGCAATAAAAAAACCCAGTAATTATAGGAATAATAACGCTTTAGGAGATAATTTTTTTTCTTGACGCGTGCTTACATATAGTAAGTAGCCCTATGTGGATTATAATTTGTGAACATGTTGTGATTGTTTAAGTACTCAAATAAAAAAACTAACAAAGTAAATATATTTTTCCATTTTAGGGGGCTTCACCCGAGGGCACTTTTCGCCGTCTTCCACCCTCCTTCCCCCTCCCCTCATCGCAAATCCCAAGGAATTAACTAGTGTTTGATACCGGATACCAAACTTCGGCACCTGTCCTTTTTTGGCTCGAGATTCCATTCATTGAACCAACACGGAAGTACGATCACTACTAAATGGAGGGGGAAGCGGGCATATGGAGCGTCAATGAATGAACGCCTCTGCGACAATTATCGAATTCATTACGAAAGTCAAGGTGAGGCCGGTATTGTTCGAAGGGGAAAGTGCGAGGAGTGGAAGAGGAGTTCCTCGTGAGTCGGAGCTTCCCTTTCATCGACCTTTCTCTCTTTTGCATACGCATCAAACGGCTTGTTTTTGTTGGATTGCAGCCGGCTGATATTCCACCCAATTCTTGGATTTTCCAGATGGGATTATAGTTATCCTTTGTGATTGTAAATTAACTGAAGGAATTGAGATTCGATAAGTAGAGTCACATAATAGGCAGAGCATCTGAGAGTGATGTAGTACTATATAATAGGGAATATAAAAAAAAAAAAAAGAAGATCGTTTTATCCAATTCAAGATTTCAAAGGGCTGTCAATATTTTAATTCTATTTAATACTAAATAATCTCATTGGAGATTCTCTGAGCTTGTTTAATTCCATTCGACTTCTTATAAAAAAAAGGCTCAGTTTAATTATTAATTTAAAAAAAAAATGTCACACCGTTGAAGCAGCTCGTGAAATTATTAAATATGAAGATGGAAGGTGTCCTTCACCAGCGTACTGCGCGGCGTTGGTTTGAAAAATTTAGCAGTGGAGATACGACATTGGAAAGGAAGAAGGGCTTCGGAAGACCATTAATGGATATTAATGAGGTTCCGTAGGAAGCTGTTGAGTCAAATGTTAGTAACCATCTATTCTCCATGAGGAAGGTGAAAAGGCACAGTATAATAGTCCCTCAGGAACTTACTCCTCAGCAATTGGCTAAGAGGTTAAGAATTTTGTGAAAATTTATTGAAAAACCCTTCTGATATGAGATTTTACCGGAGATTGTCAACTGAAAAGTGGGTTAACTGGAGAAATCCGAACACCCATAAGCGAGGAGTAGATTGTGGCCAAACTGATTTTCCTGTTGCTTTTGCGTTTTTTTTTTTTCAAATTTTGAAGGTGTTATTCATCACGAATTTGTTCCTGATGGATGCTCTATGAATTCTGAACTATACTGAGAACAAATGGAAAGATTGTACGCGAAGTTTTCAGAGCGTTATTCTGCTTTGATCAACCGATAAGGAATTTTATTCCAATAAGATAGTGCTCGTCGAACCAAAGAAAAGTTTAAAGAACTTCATGGGGTCGAACTCCTGCCTCATCTACCATATAGTCCAGACCTCGCATCATCGGATTACTACTTATTTGGATCCATGGCCCATTTTCTTCAAAGAATATAATTTGATAATTTTGTGGTACTTTAAATTGCGGTCCAAGAGTTCTTTGACAGCCGTCCTAAAGAATGGTATCTCAGCATGGGATCGAGCAATTGGTTAGCAGATGGCGATAACGGTAAATGACTAGATAACAATGTATAGTGGAATACTTTGAGTATTAATTGTATTTTATATCAAAGAAATAATAATACAAAACGTTTGGTTGAAAAACAGTAATTTTTTATATACTGCAAGTGACCTTGTATTTTTGTAGGCCATCTTTTTCTGTATTTTGTGATTAAATTACCTTACGATTCAAGTGGAAAGCAAATGAGTATTCACGAGATTTCAGAACCTGATTAAATTGATTAAATTAATGAGAAAATGTACCATTTCTGGAAATGTTTCATTAGTTCTTTATCATAAGTATTTTCGATTATATAAATATTAATATATGGGATTTTCTTTTTAACGCCTTTTGACTTCCGTCATTGTCTTCTCGCAGCATTGGGGCTGTTCAAGGCTACGGCAAGTTGTAGTCGTTTGCTTCTCTTCTTATATAGATGATATCTAGGGAGCAGGTGGTTTATAATAACCGGACGCAAATACGATCACTCCCTCTTCATCAGAATGGTTGGCAACCTTTTGCAGATGTCCCTATCCTGTTGTTGTTTTTTACGGGATAGGGTTATTAATTAACCCTGTGCCCAATCCCCAATCTGGAGGACCAAAGGAGCTATGTTATTAGATACAGAGGTAGCTCTCACCTTCCTGTGAATCTCAGGGTGGGGACGTTACCGTCCACCCACATACGGGAATCGGACCAGCGCCGTAGTGGTCTAGTAGGTGGTGCACTTATTTTTTTATTATTAATTATTTATATTATTATTCTTTTTTTTTTGTTATAAAATCCCACGAACGTGATTTAAACTCGTAGTATAAATTTTTGCAAGTGCCTTAACTCGCTGGACCACCGCAGCCCCTTCTTATATGAGATTATTTATAGGATTTTAGTAAATTATTGAATATTGATTTGTTTCCATTCTTTTTACTATCACATATCTATATATTTAATATATAGTGAGAGAGAATATTGCGATCGTGAAAATTTTCTAATCTGAATTTTCAACGGAAATTACACGTTTTGAGGTTCCCTGTGTCTAAATAATGTGGGTGTGTATGTGAACAGTCCAGCTCAAAAGCAAAAAGTTGTACGAAACTGGTATTGCATATTTAATATAGGAAAATGGCTGGGATGTTACAGCAACTTTTCCCTTAAAATCGGCTAACCGAAAGTGCCACTTATTATCGACGGTTATACATATTTTCTCAAAAACGGCTCTAACGATTTTTATTAAAGTCAGCGTATCATTGTATAATTAAGTGGTGTTTTGATATAATTTAACCCACTTTACAGTGCTTAAATGCCCCATGTTCAACATGTCTTCCTCTTAAGTACCCTTAATTTGGTTTATTTTAAATAATTAACGATCTCTCATTGATAAGGAGTTACGGAAAACTGTTAAATATAACTTTTGAAAGAATTTTATAGTTGAAAAATGGAGAGAAAAGGGAAAATGTTTAATTAAGTCGTAAATGTATCTTCGGAAATACAAGTCAGAAGATAAATGTATAACGAAGAAGTGAAATATAAAAATATTTCATGGATGTAAAAAGCATATGCTTAAAACCTTAAATACATTTACTGTAGTTTAATAATTTTAGATCTGATATTATATTTAAATAATTAGATATCAACGACAATTATAATTAGGTATCACTAATGGGTTTGGTTTTGCAGCTTATTTGTAAATTAAAAATTAGTTATGTATAACAGAAATATGTCATCCACAAGACATAATTTATAGCCAGACATAGTTTATAACCGTTTTTACCACTTTTATAATCTATTTAATAGTTAATTAAATATTTTCAGTAGTCTTATTTTCACCAATAAATCTTTTTTTCTGGCAATATATTGCATTTGATCGATCGTTTTTAAGTCAATCGATTTCATTAACCAGCTTCGGACCCGCCCTGAATTAAATTCCGACATTGAGAGCTGTGCCTGTAAGATAACGACTTCTCCCTGAGTAAATAGAACCATTAATCTTAGCCAAAGCTGATGTTAATTAACATACAACTTGTAAGTGAGTCCTTAGCCTTGCCCCTTCCTACTCCTCTTGGTGTTTACAATTTACGTGAAACGTGAAAGCGGACTTCTTCCATCGGAGATCCACTTTGAGGATCATCTTGGGCAGAGAGGCTTTGGAGCAAGGCGAAAGTAGTTTCTCAGCAGGAAGGTCAGGGTCACTCAGAAAACATTTTATTTCATTTTAAGTCTTATTATTACGTAACTTTTTTTTAAAAATGCGGAAATTCGGGGCCTAAGGTATATGGAAACTATTGAGATAGTACAGAAAAAAATTCATAAAAATACCAAGATCGACTCCGAACTACATAGCTAGATAAGAAACTGGTCGCTCAAAAATTTTCATAGCAGTTTTTACAAAAATGTATAAATTTAGAAATAACTGCACTGCCAGAAGATCGGTTGCCTCAAAAGTGTCTGCAGAGACTGGTTGCTTTGGGTAACAGGGAACTAAATCTTGATTTTAATTGGGTCTTACAAATTAAAAATGTAGCCGTTTCTCATTTTGTTGGGGAATATTTCAACGATCTGATCCGAAAATATTAATTATCAACAGAAGAAGTATTGTTTTTGATAGAGTTCCAAACAATCTATATTCTGCAGACATTGAACGCGCTTTAAATTCCAGTTATGATCATATTTATAGAGAAATATTTACGGCTACTCATTCCCTGAACCAGAAAATTACCTAAAATTGAATGTCAACATACGAGAAATAAGGACCGTAAGTCAATTAAGAGCCTCCAGTAACCTTTACCTCAATTTACATCATAAAAACTTCAAACATATTATTAGATCGGTGGAGGTTTGCAAATGATAGATTTATTTATAATAATTTTAATGGCTTACTGCTCTAATGTCCTTTCTGGAACATTTAAGAAAAAAATACCTCTATGACTATATCATCGGTGAACTCGGCGATAGTTGTCATATAACCATTATCTATCTGTTACTTAAAAAAACTTGGATCTCTTTACAAACAATATTTTTTTCAATACAAATATAATGCAACAAATATTAATACAATTTATACAAATAATAATAATACAAATAGAAATTTGTGCCCTTTAGTTCAGTTCAAAAGCTTAATTCTTTAACAAAAAGTCAATACTTTCTTAAATATATTAATACTAGTTGGCCAGGAAGTTGATATTACTAGACTAAGAATTGGGCACACGTGCAATTCAGGACATTGATTATTCTGGATGCATGAAACACAATCATACCATATATACAATAAAAGAAAAACAGGATTATAATAAAAGAAAACTTGGAATAACAGAATAAATCAAACATGAGACAACATTAAACAAAAAAATTAAAAAACATTCATACTTATTTACAATATTTACTGTCAGCCGAGTCGGGCCCTTTTCCCCGTTTGTGGAGGATAAGGCAAGACTCCAAGAGATCGCATCTCTCACAGCCGCATCACTAGGATGGGAATCCAGTGGAGACTAGGAGAGAGCACTAAAGCCACATACGCTCATGAATTGTGTGGAGAAGCTGGCCATTGCCAGAACTCTAGTGACGTATTTACAAAAAATTTAGAGGCCACTGCCGTTTCAACCTTCGAGGAGGATTGTAGGGATGACAGGAACTGAATAAGGATTGCACTAAGGGATTAGGATGATGGATTAGGTTCTGATGAAAATTTGAAAATCGGGATGGAATAACGTCAGGGACATAAGGGGCTTTAAGGGTATGGTGTAAGGTTTTGTTCGTAACATAATAAGGAGCATTGACTTTTATACGGAGGACTTTAGACTAGAAGGATTGGATG